GAAGTCTCCTGTAGGGCACCCTGCTTGGAAGGCGAAAAGCCTTAAGCTGCTGGGTTACTCCAGGCTAGAGAAGCGATGAGTTGGGGGAGCCCCTCTCCCCAAAGCTGCCCCTGTTTCGAAGCCCTACACCGAGCTTTGGTAAGGTTCTGAAATGTTTGGTTACTGGACTGTGCTGGGTCCAATAGAACTGAAAGAGGTGTCAGCATAGCATCTCTAATACAACTGGAGATGCAGATATCTTAAGCATCTGTTGCTTGAGAGCCAGCTATTCCGGGGACTGTCAGGTAGGAAGGCACATTGGAAGGTTGTAGGTTTCCCTGGGCTCATGAATCTGAGGCGCGGCCCACAATGTATGGATGTTGAAGTTCAAGTCTGGGGCTGGAGGCACAATGTGGTTGCTTAAAATCAAGAATCTGGAGTTGGCAGTTGCTCTTTTTCTCCTTCACAAGTGAGGTGGCAAAGAGCGGAGACCCCACCAAAGTCAAATGTAACAGTCAATAGCTTAGTTTCCGCTTGCTGAAGTATTAGAGGCATAAAGCGATAAATGAGTCTCTTTTCTTCAGAGGCTGTTTGAAAAGACATCCTTTTAGTCATAAAATAGGCAAGGAATTTTACGTGTTTTTCTGGTTGATATATTATTTTGAGATTATTTCCCTTATATTTATAATTTAATTTCAATGCCTGATGGTTGATCTTCCTGTCTTGCCATACTCACCTGTACATTTTTTTTCTCACTTGCTAGAATAAACTTGATTTTACCATTGCCCTCCTTATGTTGGGATAGCTGTTTAATAAGCTATGAAACAAGTCAATGGAGCAATGACAATTTACCCTAGCTGGGGACCTGCCCCCATGTAGGGAGGAAAGATGTCATAAAACACTATAACACGTTACAAGGGTCAGGGAGGCAACCCTCCAACCTGAGATCCCAAGCAAACAAACTACTGATCCATTTGGTGGCATTGTATTTATTCTTCATCTGCATTTTGATAAAAAACCTCCCCCCTCCCATAATTCTAACTCAATTTGCTCATCACTAACATCAGATTCCACTGCCTTCTGCTCTTCCTCTTTCTGGTGGTATGGTGAGGGCTGGGTCTGTTTAGTTACTCCAGATAAAAGAGTAAAAGACGACTAAGTAAAATCTCAGACCTTTGGCCAAGACTTTCCAAAATGCCTAGCAATTTTGAGTGCTTCTATTTTTGCCGAACTTGAGACACTTAAAAGACCCATGAGTTTTCGAGGGCACATCATGTCCTGAAAAATCAGGCCCCTTTTAAGGTGTCTCAGGTTGGACATCCAACAATGAAAGCCTTCAAAATCACTAGCTGCTCTTTAAAATCTTGGCTCTGAAGCATAGAAAAGTTTAGCATCCCTAGAAGTTGGCTTCAGGTTTGATTTATTCTCTCCTCTGCTAAAACAACCTCACTTGAAAGAGTTTGAGATGTTTATTGTAGGTTCAAGTCTCGCTTACTTAAAGTGTTCCAGACTTGTGAGTTAGTGAAGTCTTCACATGTATTAATAACATGCAGTTATTTCAAAATCTTCCTCCACACTAATTGAGATGCAGACAGGTGTCGGACATCCCTTCCAGAACACCTTCAATTGTCTCATACCTTTGAATTGTAATGCAGTAGTTGAAAGTGCACTGATGCAGGTAATATACTTTAAATTCATTTGAAATGTCCTGAATGAAACTTAAAAAAAAGTCCAACAGCACAAGATCTGGAAATCTCTCCAGAAACAAATCCACAAATCAGCCTGGGGAAAAAATGGAAATTAGTACAATCTAAATCATTAAAGACATAACACAAAGAGAGAATTTACTCCAAAAAGGAAAAAGTGCTAGAGACTCCAGGAAGTCCATTAAGGACTTTACTATTACTATAGATTTTTACATGGAAGGTGGTCAGAAATCACGGCAATGGGTGGCAGTATAAAACCCTAAAATAGGCCCAAATTCAGCAAAGAATTTAAAATATGTGCTTAAGCCCCATTGGCCTCAATGAGACTCAAGCACAAGGTTAAGTCCTTTGCTGAATTGGAACCTACCTATAGTCTCTCATTCACTGTTGAAATGTTGACTCCCACTTTCTATCAGCCAGTGATGCCAGCCTACGTTGCTCACTTGTTATGTTTTCAAGCAAGCGTTCTCCCATATGGCCACTCACGCTTGGGATGAACTCACCGTAAATAGCCACAGAGCTCCCTCATTAAAATTCTCCTTTGCTGTGATGCCTATAATAAATTTTACCACCGGCTGGTGTGCTGAGACCATTGGCTATCAGGCTTGACCAATATTGTCTCATTGTTTCCTTGTATTTCCCCCTCTGTCTGTGTCCACCTGTTGTCTTACACTTAGAGTGTAAGCTCTTTGGGACATGGACTGTCTTTTTTGTTGTGTTTGTACAGTGTGTAGCACAATCAGGTCCTGGTCCAGGTATCCAGGTATTCTTTGGTGCTATGGTAATACAAATTATAAATGCACCTTCTGAATCACCAACCTCACTTCCTGCAGCACCTGGGCTTTCTTCTGGAAACCACACATCCTAGTCAATCCCAGGCCCAGCTTGACTTAGGCCAGGTCTACACTACCCGCCTGAATCGGCGGGTAGAAATCGACCCAGCCCGGGGAGCAATCACTTGGCGCCGTCAGCT